TTATTCTAGAGATAAAAAATGTTAAGGATATGTATAGGAATTTGTTGGTTCAGGATGCTCATTATAGCACTGTTTAGTAACAGAGTTTTTTTCACCCCCCACCCCCCACACTTAATGCCCTTAAAAAGGAGACAAGTTAGTAAGGTGCAGTCCAGGCGCTCAAGGCATCAATACAATACCACAGAGCTGCTGAGAATGACGGCTCTGAATGACGCTGGGAAACTGTACACTAGGTGGCTAAGTAGGAGGGAAAAAATGGCTACAAAATAGCACATGCCATCTGATCCTTTTAATAAAAGCAACTGGTAGATGGGTTTTCAAAGAGGAAATACTGGAAACATAGACACCCAGGTGCTATTTCTGAATAGTGTGATGACAGATGGTTTTTACTTAAATTTCTTCCTCCTTATCTGTATTTTCTAAAAGCTGCACATTCTATTTTCATCATTAAGAAACTTATATGAAGAAAATGCTTTGTTTCAGAGTCTGAAATGAAATGTCAGGGCATCACTGGGCATGTGGAGATGGGCAAGCTCAGTCTTCCTGCTGGCCCTGCACTCTAACACCATTTCTGAGGTCCCCTTGGGAGCAGCAGGAGAAGGCAGCAGGGTTGGCCTCAAGAACAAGCTGTCCTCCTGTTCTGAAGAGGAGGGGACTTTCAGAGATCTTCTGGGTACAGATAAGCAGAACTCACCTGTGGACTGGGTTACACACGAGATCTTGTAGGACAGCCATACACTCGCCAGGCAGAGGAAGGTGGCCAAGAAACCGAAGATCTGCAGAGGAGAGAGAGGCCAGGGAGTCACAGGCCGGAGGCCAATCGCTCATTCCCTGCACCATCTGTGACCTGACCTCCTTGCCATGCTCAGTCACTGGCCCCTCGTCCCCTGGGTTGGGTCCAGGTCTGGTCTGGCAGCCAGGCCCCTGGTCTCCACCCTCTGCCTTTTTTACTCTAGGCAACTTCAGTGTCCAGGTTTGGGTTTCTATCTAAAAGGGAGTTGGGACCAACCCACTGTACTTTGATTATCTGGAACAGATAAGTAAGGTGAAATCATATTTTGGATTTAAAAATTTTAAACAATTGGCTGGGCATGGTGGCTCACACCAGTAATCCTAGCACTCTGGGAGGCCGAGGCGGGTGGATTGCCTGAGCTTACCAGTTCAAGATCAGCCTGAGCCAGAGGGAGACCTTGTCTCTAAAATAGCTGGGTGTTGTGGTGGGTGCCTGTAGCCCCAGCTATTTGGGAGGCTGAGGCAAGAGAATCGCTTAAGCCCAGGAGTTTGAGGTAGGTGTGAGCTGTGATGGCACAGCACTCTACTGAGGGTGACATAATAAGACTCTGTCTTAAAAATAAATAAAAAAATAAAAATAAGTAAATAAATAAATAATAAAATTAAAAAACATTTTTTTTAAATGTTCAAATGGATTTTATTGGTGTGGTGGCACTGTCTGCATTTCATTTGTTGTGGCTTTCGGCTCTGTTCTGGCTTCATAGCCATGTAAGAGCCGGAAGCTGAGGCCTTTATATCTAGGTTGCACATATTAAATAATATTAGACTAAAACAAGTCAGGGAAATGTACATTTCCTTTCTCAAGATCCATCTACTGCTCAAATTCGAGGACAGTTGATTTAGTCCAGCCCAACCCCCTCACTGTAGATAAGGAACAAATGACTGTAGATAAGGAACAGGGTGGCTGGGGAGGAAGGGACCTTGGGAGAGGCTCTCAGATGGCCCGGGAGAAGGTGGGCCCTGGTGTCTTTGGAACTCTGAAACCTGCAGCCATGTTCCTTCCTGTGAACACACTGGCAGCTGTAGCAGCTAAACTTACTGATCCCTTACTCTGTAACTGCCAGGTATGGATTCCATGAACACAACTCTACGAAGGGGGTGCTAGTGTTACCTGCCCTCATGCCCACCCCATTTTATAGCTAAAGAAAGGGAGGGGCATGGGATGTGAGCCCAGGGAGTCTGGCTCCAGAGTCCACACTCTGCTCACGGGGCCACCCTAGTGCACGACTGAAGTCCCCAGCTGACATGGACAGGAATGGTCCAGGAGCAGCCAGGTGAAGGGCAGGATTTTCAACAAGGTTTGGTTTTCTTTTCTAGCCCGGCTGCCAGTTTACATAAACAGCTGCCACCCCAGCCCACACTCACTACTCCCTGAGTGCCTTTTCCCTGGCTCTTTTGTACCAGTTGTTTGTAGCACATAATTAGCCTATTAGAGCCTGTCCTGGCCTCTCATTGTCTGTTCTGCACAATTAGCACATTACATACTATCCCAGTCTCCAACTGTCTGCACTGCATAATTGAACAGTTTATTATATCGCTATATAACACCATTCTAGATGACAATGCCTTGTTTGCTAATTGTTTCATGTGCCTTCTCCTCACCTCCTAAGCTAAATTACCACTTTCTCATAAGCAAGGACTGTATTTTAAAAATTTCTTCTGGCTGCCCCAGGCCCCATGCACAAAGACAGTGTATGATAGATGTCAGCTCTCAGGAATCCAGGGCTGAACTAGCAAACCCAGAGGGGATCTCTCTGAGAGGGCCCTGGAGCACAGAGGGCATGGATTTCCTCTGTGTCTCTTCCCCCAGTCTGCATGGTAGCTGGGCAGGTAGTGTTTAAGGGCCACCCTCTACAGAGACGTTCTGCCCCCCCATGCTGACCTTTGGAGGAAAGACTCCATTTCGCAGTGTAATTCTAGGAGCCAACCCATGCCCAGGCCGAAGTCTGGAGAATTTTAGTAACGTGTGTAAGTGAAAGGCAGTGGATGTTACACACAGAGAGCTATTTATTCGTTTCTTTTTCTTTTCTTTTTTTTTTTTAGAGACAAAGTCTCACTTTATCGCCCTTAGTAGAGTGTTGTGGTGTCACAGCTCACAGCAACCTCCAGCTCTTGAGCTTCGGTGATTCTCTTGCCTCAGCCTCCCAAGTAGCTGGGACTGCAGGTGCCTGCCACAACACCCAGCTATTTTTTGTTGCAGTTTGGCCAGGGTCGGGTTTGAACCCGCCACCCTTGGTATATGGGGCCAGCGCCGAACCCACTGAGTCACAGGCGCTGCCCCGTTTCTTTTTCTTTTTTAAAAAAGATAGGGTCAGCTGGGCCCGGTGGCTCATGCCAATAATCCTAGCACTCTGGGAGGTCTGTGCAGGAGGATCTCTTGAGCTCAGGAGTTTGAGACAAAAACGTGAGCAAGAGTGAGACCCTGCTTCTACTAAAAATTGAAAGGAATTTAGCTGGGGTGGGTTGTGGTAGTTGCCTATAGTCCCAGATGCTGGGGAGGCTGAGGAGGATCGCTTGAAGAAGGAGGATCAAGCAGGAGGATCGCTTGAACCCAGGAGTTTGAGGTTGCCTTGAGCTAGGGGGATGCCACTATACTCTAGCCTGGGTAACAGAGACTCTTTCTAAATAAATAAATTAATTAATTAATAAATAAAACAAAAAGATGGGGTCTTGCTGTGTTGCCTAGGCTGGACTCAAACTCCCAAGCTCTAACGATCCTCCTGCCTCAGCCTCCTTAGTAGCTGAGATGACAAGTACACCCCACCATGCCTGGCTTGAGACAGCTTTTCATTAAAAAAAAAAAAAAAAAAAACTCATTTAAAAAATCTTGTCTTCTCATTAGTAAAGCAAATCAGTACTGGTGCACAGGCTACTGAACTGCAAATAGGTAAATCAGAAATCAGATGACAGGAATCTATGAATCTTTTAAAAATAATATAAATAATATGTACATATATCTATATGCCTATACATATATATGTATACATCTCCCATCATACTGTTGGGGTTTTTTTGGTACATTTCCATCTACTTCTATTTGTGGCTATCACATGGATCTATTTTTACCTCTGAAAGGCAAAGAGGTATTATTTCCTGCCCTGAATACTATTAAGAATCAGGAATGGTTGTAATAACCAAGTCCCCAGCCCTTGACCCCCTCCCTAGGACCAGTGGGGAACAAGCCCCCTACCCTTGAAAAGAAAACCTCTCCTAAGCCTTTTAGTCCTAGCCCCCTCAAGGGTAAAGAAGCAGCCTGAAATTAAGGAAGTAGGCAGGGAGGGGTTGAGCCCTTGATGAAAAGGTCCCAAGTTGTTCTTGGAAAATTACCCAACATTTGTTTTGAACCCTTGGACTATGTGACCCTCATCTGATGACCCATGAAGTAATGTACTTGTGATATATTTTATGATTTATGTATCCCCCACCCTGAGTTGTGTAAGCCTTTATGATGTACCCTTATTTTGTGACCCCTGAACTGTACTGAACTGTGCTAACTGCAGTGATTTGCCTTCTGTATTGCGCTAGCTTGCTGAGCATACATGACTATGCAGAGTAATAGTATAAAAAGGATTTTTACCCACTATTCGAGGCTGCATGCCTATATGGTATCAGCCCCTTGTAGGTGCACCTGCAGGTGTATGAAATGATCAATACATTTCTATTAATTAATTACATCTGAAGTGAGGTCCATCCTTCTGTCACATCTGCCATTTATTTCACAGTAAAGCCAAGACTCATGGCAGATATTACTAATTGATCATAGTATCCTGTCCCCTGGGCTCATAAAAGGCCCTGAAATTCTTCTCTGCATATTACTGAGGCAGCCACAAGTAAATGATGCGCGTGGGCATGTGCCCACCAAGTTAAGTAGTGGCGGTAAGTGAGAGGGGCTGGGGGCTGCTGGCCATTTGAATTTGCCAACAGCCCTGACACACTACCTTCAGACACCCCTCTGCTGTGAGCTCAAGTTTACAGCTCTTTGGAGGTAGCTGCCGGCTGGACTGAGGTAGCATCGAATCTATGAAACAAAGGCCCCAGAAACCAACCACTTTTCGGCCCCCGCCATGAAAAAAACGAGCATTTGAAATATGAATTGCTTCCTAAAGGCTCCTGAGAATGTCCTCACCGATCCGGCTACCAATCCGCTCCAGTTGTAACTCTTGGAGGCTGCCACGATGGAGGCGATGAGCAGGAGCAGTGTACCGATTAAATAGTGCAGAAGTTCCTGGGGGCAAAAACAGAGCAGAGAGTGGGTAAGGGGGGGCACTCCTAGCTCTCCTACAGCAGCTGGGCATCAGAAAAGATGAAAAGAAAGGGACAGTGACGCTTCTGATTCTCCCTCATAACACCCCGCCAGGAAGAGGCCAAGCAGGAGAGGAAGGAAGCTGGACCGGCGGGAAGGAAAGGGGACATAGAAAGGAAGCCACCAAGGACGGCTCCACTCCTGATATCAAGTTGCAGACAGTACCTTGACCTCTGGCTAAAGCTACTGAAAAGCAAATGAGCTTCTTACAACTCACAGGCTGGAGAGTTTGAACAAAATCCCAGCTCTGAGAAGTGAAACCCTTTAAAGAGATGTGTTCCTTTCTCTGCAGCGTCAGAGAAAGTTCTGGGCTAACAACGCACTGGCTTTGTGTGGCAGCCCTGAGTGTGGACTTGAGAGGCATTTGTTCTTCAGGACCCTTCAGACTTCGGGGCCTAGAGTGAGGGGTGTATGTAGTGTCAGCTGGCTGCCTCACTCCTAAGCCCCCTGGTTTGTCTCATTTTGTCATTTCCTCTTCTCCACAGAAGAATCCCTCTGGCTGGGCTCTACCAGCGAGTCTCCTAGCAGGACTGATTCTATCTTTACTTCTTGCCTTGACCCATGGACCTCCCATTTCCACCACATTCACTCTTTATGATTAAAATAGCATCTCCGTTGCCATGGACAAGGCTGCAGCTTTCGGCAGTATGGAATGCTTCCACCTCACCCTTCACCTTCCCCATTCAGTACCAGACCAGAGAAGAACTGGAGATGAGTCTCACTTGCTCTGAAATCTAGAGGCCATCCATTTTCAGTTGTCTTCAGTGAGAATTTAGACACTATTCCTTCAGGGCAGGAAGCTATTAAATTCTGGAAAAGCATTCTACTTTTAAGCTTCAGCTCTTCTCACCTCACAGCTTTGCAAAATCAAAGACCCTCATTTCTTTTTTAGTGACTTGAAAGGACTGTCACACCGTAGATCACAGAGTTTGTGACTACAGAGCAAATCAGTAACTGGACGCTTCCCACCTCCAAGATTTTCACCTACAAAGGAAGAGGAGGATGACATGGGGCAGGGAAAGATGATTTGAGAGAATCATAACTGGGAAGTACTTAAATAGTACTCAGCCAAAAATACGTGGCAGAGGCTGTCCTTCCAACACTCGGCCCCTATTTAGCCTGCTCTGTTCTTGTCTGAGGTTTTATTCTTTCCTTTCCTTCCTGAATCTCAACATCAGGGCAGAAAGGTACCATAACATTGAAAGTGGCTTAGAACTCAGAACACAAAGAAATGTCTCTCCAAATAACAGTGGGTAATAACATTAAATGTGCATGATTAAACAATTTAATCAAGAGGCACAGGTTGTCAGACTGAATTTAAAAAACCTAGCCTGTGGCTCAACCGGCTAAGGTGCCAGCCACGTACACCTAAGGTGGCGGGTTCGAATCCCCAGCCGGGACCCGCCAAACAACAACGATGGCTGCAACCAAAAAAAATAGCCGGGCGTTGTGGCAGGCGCCTGTGGTCCCAGCTACTTGGGAGGCGGAGGCAGGAGACTCGCTTGAGCCCAGGAGTTGGAGGTTGCTGTGAGCTGTGATGCCATGGCACTCTACGCAGGGGGACAGCTTGAGGCTCTGTCTCAAAAAAAAAAAAAAAAAAAACCCTAAGATATACCCATAGTATATGTTGTCTACAGTGTATGCTATAAAGGAGACACATTTTATACTCAGAGATCTGCCATGTAACTGTTAACCAAATGAAAGCCAGAGGGCTATATTAGTATCGGGCGGGCAAAACATACTTTAACACACAAAAAGTTACTATAAAGAGGGACATTTTATAATAATGAAAAGGTGAAGTCACCAGGAAGATATATAACAGATGTATACATCTTCTAAGAGAGCCAAAATACAAGAAGCAAAAAAATGAGGAGAGAAACAGATAATTCGAAAGAAATTACAAGGAAGACTAGAAAATACCTGAAGATGAATGAAAATGAAGACACAGTATACCAAAATGATGGGATGCGATCAAAGCATTTCTCATAGGGAAATTCATAGCTGTAAATACAAATAGTAAAAAAGAAGAAACATCTCAAATTAAACTTCCAGTGAAGACACTGGAAAAAGAAGAACAAACCAAATGTAAAGCAAGTAGAATGAAGACAATAAAAATTAATGATAAAAAGAATAGAAAAAAACAGATAAAAATCAAAGAAACCAAAAGCTGGTTCTTTGGAAGAGTAACAGAACTGATAAAACTTTAGCTAGAGGGCGGCACCTGTGGCTCAAAGAAGTAGGGCACCAGCCTCGTATACCGGAGGTGGTGGGTTCAAACCCAGTCCTGGCCAAAATCTGCCAAAAAACAAACAAACAAACAAACCAAAAAAACCCTTTTAGCTAGACTGATCAAAAAAAAAAAAAAAAAGAGTGTAAGAGAGAGAAAATGAGAAAGAGAAGATGCAAATGAAAGAGGAAACATTACTAGTGACCTTACAGAAATAAAAAAGATTTTAAAAATACTATAAACAATTAATTGCAGTTGGACGCATTGGCTTACACCTGTAATCCTAGTACTCTAGGAGGCCGAGGCAGGAGGACGGCTTGAGCTCAAGAGTTTAAGATCAGCCTAAGCAAGAGTGAGATCATGTCTTAGTGAAAATAGAAATAATTAGCTGGTGTGGTGGCATAGCTACTCAGGAGGCGGAGGAAGTAGGATCCTTGAGCTCCAGGAATTTGAGGTTGCCGTGAGCTAGGCTGATGCCATTGCTTGCTAGCTGGCACTGAGAGAGCAAGAGTATATCTCAAAAAAAAAAAAAAATTAATTAGATGCCACCGATGCCTAGTCTACCCGTCAAAGTACTTTTTCTAGGATGAGTTCACAAACTTAACTGTCAGTTGTTGTATGATGACAGGTCTGATGGCCATTCAAGACAAAGAGTTCCAAAACTGCTTTGATGAAACATAGAAAACGGTTGAGAAAAATCTAACACTCTTCATGGAAGTTTGACTAGAAGGGAACTTCCTCAATCTGATAAAGGCATCTACCAAAAAACTCATCTCTAATATCACATTTAATGATGAAAGATGAAATGCTTTCCTCAAACTATCAGAGAAAAGGTGATGCTGCTCTTGCCATTCTAGTCAGCATTCAACTAATTTATTCAACTAATTTCTTGCAACAAGGCAAGAGAATGAAATCAAAGGCACTGCGATTAGAAAGGAAGAAGTAAAAACATCTCTTTGTAGATGATATGGTGTTATGTGTGGAATATTCTAAGAAACCCACTAAAAGTCTATTAAAATAAAGTTCGGTGAGGTTGAAGACAGGATTAATACAAAAAGTAATTATATTCCTATTCGCTTTCAATGAAAAATATGAAAATGAAATTGAGAAAAAAAATCTGCATGAAATAGCATCAAAAGAATAAAATACTTAGGAATAAATTTTCTTTTTTTTCCTTTTTTATCTTTTTGAGAGAGTCTCACTATGTCACCCTCAGTAGAGTGCAGTAGCATCACAGCTCATAGCAACTTCAAACTCTTGGGCGTAAGCAATTCTCTTGCCTCAGCCTTCCAAATAGCTGGGACTACAGGCACCCGCCACAATGCCCAGCTATTTTTTGTTGCAGTTGTCATTGTTGTTTTGCTGGCCCCAGCTGGGTTGGAACCTGCCAGCCTGGGTGTATGTGGCCAGCGCCCTACCCACTGAGCTACTGGGCACTGCCTAAGAACACATTTTTTTAAAAAAAGTATAAAACAAATCTTATACTCTGAAAATTTTAAAACATTGAAAGAAATGAAAGATTTAAATAAATGGAAAAATCTCCCCTGTTCATGGATCGTAAGACTTAAAATTGACAGGGTGGCAATATTCTCTAAGTTAATCTACAAATGTAACACAATTAGCAATATTTTCAGCTAATTTCTTTTTTTTTTTTTTTTTTTTGAGACAGAGCCTCAAGCTGTCCCCCTGGGTAGAATGCCATGGCATTACAGCTCACAGCAACCTCCAACTCCTGGGCTCAAGCGAGTCTCCTGCCTCTGCCTCCCAAGTAGCTGGGACCACAGGTGCCCGCCACAACGCCCGGCTATTTTTTGGTTGCAGCTGTCATTGTTGTTTGGCAGGTCCGGGCTGGGGATTCAAACCCGCTACCTTAGGTGTATGTGGCTGGCGCCTTAGCCGGTTGAATTATAGGCGCCGAGCCCAGCTAATTTCTTGGTAGCTGAAATTTCTAGGTAGAAATTAAAAAGCTGACTTTTTTTTTTTAACTAAAGATATACTATTTTATTGGATAAATACTTGTCTTGAAAAAACACATTTTGTCGAGTCACAATAATTACCTTTGTTGGAGACATAACCCACAGAATCTTCTCCCATTTTGAGGGCTGTCTGCTTGCTTTACTTACTGTGCTCTTTGCTGTGCAGAAGCTTTTTAATTTGATGAGGTCCCAGAAGTGTATTTTTGATGTTGCTTCAATTGCCCAGAGGGGTCCTCCTCATAAAATATTCGCCTAGGCCGATTTCATCAAGAGTTTTCCCTACACTTTCTTTTAGTATTTTTATAGTTTCATGTCTTAAGTTTAAATCTTTAATCCAGTGAGAGTTTATCTTAGTTAGTGGTGAAAGGTGTGGATCCAGCTTCAGTCTTCTGCAGGTTGCCAGCCAGTTCATCCAGTACCATTTGTTAAATAGGGAATCTTTTCCCCATTCAATATTTTTAATTGGCTTGTCAAAGATCATATAGTGGTAAGTAGCTTGGTTCTCTATTCTGTTCCATACATCTACCTCTCTGTTTTTGTGCCAATACCATGCAGTTTTGATCACTATGGATTTATAGTATAGTCTGATGTCTGGTAGCATGATTCCTCCTGCTTTGTTTTTATTTCTGAGTAATGTCTTGGCTATTGGAGGTTTTTTCTGATTCCATATAAAATGAAGTATTATTTTTTCGAGATCTTTAAGTATGACCATGGAACTTTAATAGGGATTGCATTAAAATTATATATTGCTTTAGGTAGTATGGACATTTTAACAATGTTAATTTTTCCCAACCATGAGCATGGTATGTTTTTCCATTTGTTAACATTTTCAGCTATTTCTTTTCTTAGAGTTTCATAGTTCTCTTTATAGAGATATTTCACGTCCTTTGTTAGGTAAACTCCCAAATATTTATCTTCTTTGGCAGGACTCCTATTTCCTAATGTCACAACTATAAAGTTACAGTAATCAAAACAGTGTGGTACTGGCATGAAGAGACATACAGATCAATGGAACAGAATTCAAAGCCAGAAATCCATGTATTTAACGATCAATTGAATTTGACAAGGGTGCCAACTCCATTCAATGGGGGAAAAAATAGTCTTTTCAACAAATGGTGCTGGGAACACTGGGTATCTCCCTGCAAAAAATGAAGTTGAACCCTTACCTCACACTATATAGAAAAATTAACTCAGTATTATACTAAGCAAAATAAGCCATGAACAGAAAGTAAAACACTGCATGTTTTCAGTCATGGGAGCTAAAAAGATTGATCTTACCAGAAGTAAAAAGAGCAGAAGATGGCTTGGTGCCTATAGCTCAACCGGCTAAGGCGCCAGCCACGTATACCTAAGGTGGTGGGTTCGAATCCCCAGCCCGGACCCGCCAAACAACAATGACGGCTGCAACCAAAAAATAGCCGGGTGTTGTGGCGGGCGCCTGTGGTCCCAGCTACTTGGGAGGCGGAGGCAGGAGACTCACTTGAGCCCAGGAGTTGGAGGTTGCTGTGAGCTGTAATGCCATGGTACTCTACCCAGGGGGACAGCTTGAGGCTCTGTCTCAAAAAAAAAGAGCAGAAGATACTAGCAGCTAGGGACAGTATTGGGAAGGGAAGGATAAGGAGAGATTTGTTGAAGGCCACAAAAGTACAGCTAGATAGGAAAAATAAGTTCTTGTGTTCTTTATAACTATAGTATAATTATAGTTAACAATAATACTTCATATGGTTTCAAATAGCTAGAAGGAGGATATTAAATATTCTCAACACAAAGAAATGATAAATGTTTCACATGATGGATATGCTAATTATCCTGATCTGATCATTATATAGTATATGTGTCAAAACATCACTATGTATGCTCTTAATACGTATCATTTATTATTTGTCAAATAAAAATAATTTTAAAAATTAACACGAAATGGATCAAAACTTCAATGTAAAAACTAAAACTATAACATTTTTAGAAGAAAACATAGAGGTAAATCTTGGCAATCTTGAATTTGACAATGGTTTCTTGGATATGACACCAAAAGCATAAGGTATAAAAGAAAAAAATAGATAAGTTGGATTCATCAAAATAAAAAACTTGTGCTTTAAAGAAGACCAACAAAAAAAAACTAAAAAATAGAATGGAAGAAAATATATTCAAATCATATATCTGATAAGGGACTTTTATCTAGACTATACATGGTATAAAGAACTCTAACAACTCAATAATAAAAAGACAAATAACCTAATCTAGAAATAGGCAAAAGATTTTATTTTATTTATTTTTTATTTTTATTTTTTGAGACACAGTCTCATTATATCACCCTTGGTAGAGTGCCATGGTGTCACAGTTCACAGCAACCTCAAACTCTTGGGCTTAAGCAATTGTCTGGCCTTAGCCTCCCAAGTAGTTGGAACCACAGATGCCTGCTGTGTTTGAACTCACCAGCCTTGGTGCATGTGGCTGGTGTTGTAACCACTAAGCCATGGGCATGGAGCCAAGGCAAAGGATTTTGATAGACATTTCTTCAAAAAATATATATGAATGGCCAAAAAGCACACGAAAAGATAATTGACATCATTAGTCATCAGAGACGTGGAAACCACATGAGATACTGTTTCATACTAACTTAGAATGGTAGGATCGAAAGGCAGATGATAAATTTTGGCAAGAGCGTGGCGAGACTGGAACCCTTGTACGCTGCTGGTGGGAATGTAAAACAGTGAAGCCACTGTGGTGTACAATCTGACAGTTTCTCAAATAATTAGACATAAAGTTACCATATGACTCCAGCAATTCTACTCTTAGGTAGATACCAAAGAAAAATGAAAACATGTCCACACAAAAGACTTGAATATGAACATTCAGAGTGGCATCATTCATAATAGTCAAAAGGTGAAAACAGCCAAAGGTCCTTCAGAGATGAACAAAAAACAAAGTGTGGTATATTCACGCAATGGAGTAATACTTGATTATAAAAAGGAATGAGGTACAGATGTATGCTACAACATGGAGAAATCATGAAAACAGTCTGCTAAGTGAAACAAGTCAGCTAAAAAGATGCCATATGTGATTCCATTTATATGAAATGCCCCAAGTAGAAAAATTTTAGAGACAGAAAACAGATTGATGGTTGCTTAGGACTGGAGGAAAAGAGTGGTGGGGAGCTGAGAGCTAAAAGATACAGAACTTCTTTGAGGAATGATGAAAATGTTTTAAAATGGACTGTGGTGACAGTTACACAATTTTGAAAATATATTAAACTAGACCCTATTGAATTGTACTCTTTCCATGGGTAAATGGTATGGAAGGTGAACTGCCTATCAACAAAGCTTTTTAAAAAAAATCATGTAGTGAGAAGAAATAAATATCTGGCCACCTCTGATTATCTCCCTAGGCTCTGCCAGTCCCTTTTATTTGTTTATTTTTTTTTTTTGAGATAGAGTCTCACTATGTTGCCCACGGTAGAGTGCTGGGGTGTCACAGCTCACAGCAACCTCAACCTCAAACTCTACTTGGGCTCAAGTGATTCTCTTGCCTTAGCTTCCCTTGTAGCTGAGACTATGGGTGCCCTTCACAACTTCTGGCTATTTTTGTCTGTTTGTTTAGCAGGCTCAGACAGGATTTGAACCCACCAGCCCTGGTGCATGTGGCTGGCTCCCTAACTGCTGAGCTATAGGCAGCGAGCCTGCCAGTCCCTTTTAGCTAACAAATCCTATCATTCAACCCTCATGACAGCATAAATAGCCATCCTCTCCATCACCTTCTTCCTCCCATGTTCCTCCTCCAAACTCACACCCCACAGCCCACTCTGTTACGTGAGAAAATAAACATTGAGGTGAGAGCCACATGCTTTTTGTAGCTGGAAAGTGGGTTTTGGAAACCAGAGACGTCCAGCATCTCTGGGAAATTCAGGACAGAAGCTGCAAAGGATTGTTCAAGAGGTGGAATGGGCAAACAGGAAAGCCTCTGTTGGGTCTCAAAGCGGCTCATATCCTGACTTTTGCACGTGGAGAGCAGGGCCAGGCCACTCTTACCGACAGGGGCCAGCTGATACAGGTGAGCACACGGTAGAAGCGGAAGAGGTGGACCAGGTAAAAGGCGAGGATCATTATCAAGTCGCAAATGGTGACCACTTCAAAGTAGGTGTAGGCACTGTAGTTGGTCCACGGAGAGCTCCGCACACAGATGAAGGCAATCAGCAGTGTGACCTGAGACATGAACAGAGAGGCATCAGAGAAGTGCCTGCCCACGATGCGCACCCGGGGCAAGAACAGATAAACAGAAAACAAACCAGACACCCCCGGCAGGCCTGAATTGCATTATTTCTACCCAAATTGGCCAGTAGGTTGGAAGAGTATAATTTCATACAGTAGCTTTTTAAAACACGTGCTAGTTGGAAATGCTGACAACGGCAGAGACTGACTTTGCCTTCTCTGAAGTTCATTATGTTGTGCCGGCAGGATGTCTTCTCCGAGAGGAGGCGGGAATAGAGGAGAATAACAAAGCAGAACCATTTCGTTTATTTGCTGGACCTCCATGGAGCAAAGAATAGAGCACAGAGCAATACTGGACCTAGGGTTTCCATATCAGGCTGGACGGTATAAAGCTGCCAATATTCAGCTGTTTTCGACCTACAAAGATGACAATTCACGTGTTACAGCTTCCTGGTTGGCAGCTAATGGTTACCATTTGCTGATGCCTGACATACACGATCTCACTAAGGCCTTGCAGAAAGCTGCCAGGTAGGCAAAATCACCCCCATGTTCAAAGGGGGAAAACGAGGCACACAGGTTTAACATTTGTCCCAGGCTACCCAGCTTGTGAGCAGCGGGGGTGGATTTGAATCCAGTTCTGCTTGACTCCAGGGACTCTGTTCCTCCATGTCGGAAGCAGTTCTGTCTCCTGACAACATAAGTCATCGTCACAACAAGGTGAGAAGGGTGGGTGTGTCATCAAACTGTGTGGGGCCCTGCTTCAGAGGCGGTACTGCTCACCACCAGGGCGGGTGCTGAGAGCTCATTCAGTGACACTGTCATATGCATGACTGACTGAATGAATGAATGTGCAGAATTAATGACATACTATTGAACAGATAGGTCAGGCAAATACTAGCAACACATGAATGTGACAGGTGTGTAGACTGGATGAGGGGAAAGAAGATTGTGAGTTTTTGTGAAGGGCACTCAAAAGGCAGTGAAACCTTGTCCACTCCATGCAGGGAACAAATCAATAACACACAGGGTTAAATGCATGTAGACTCTATTTTAAATGCACAACTGAAGGCGGCGCCTGTGGCTCAGTGGGTAGGGCACCGACCCCATATACCAAGATGGCAGGTTCGAACCCAGCCCCAGCAAACTGCAACAAAAAATAGCTGGCACTTATAGTCCCAGCTACTCGGGAGGCTGAGGCAAGAGAATCGCCTAAGCTCAAGAGCTGGAGGATACTGTGAGCCGTGACGCCATAGCACTCTACCAAGGGCGACAAAGTGAGACTCTGTCTCTTAAAAAGAAAAAACTACACAACTAATTTAGGAAAACGATTATTTTATACAGCTTCTTTCCTATAGAATAGTAATCCTTGGAGGGGTAGGGGAGAGAGGAGGATGGGGGGTTGGGTGTGTGGGGTATAGAGAGAGAGAGAGGGAGAGAGAGGGAGAGATTGATTTGTGTCCTGTGGGACACTGGGCAATGTCTGGAGACATTCTTGATTGTTATACGTGGAGGATTCTACTGGTTTTTAGCAGGTAGAGGCCAGGGGTGCTGCTGAACACCCCACAATGCATAGGCTAGCTGCTCCAAATGTGACCCCCTAAACTACGGTACCACGTTGAAAACCCCTGCTGTAGAAAGTGTCAGTCTACAATGAGAATTACATCACGATCCGACTCCAGTTGAAGTGGCCGATGCTAAACGAGCTCTTAGGCTCTGAAGCCCCTTGTTTCTAGCTCTCTGTCGAGATCCCCAGCTATAGGTACACCAGCTACAAAAGAATTCTTGGCTTAAAGCTTCAAGTGGGCACAGACAGTGTGCTGCTGGCAGGTCAAAACTCTGACATGAGGGGGCCTTACCCTTTGATTTCCCTTTGCTAATGAGCAATGAGTGTTTTCCTTTTTTCGGTTCCTCTGAAGCCAGCCAGCCATGGCAATATAGTGATTCATACCCTGAGACTGTTTCAAGCTCTGATCATGCCTCTGCTTTACATGTAGGAGTGTGTGTGACCATCAGGGCCCTGCTGCCTCGTCAGTCCCATTTCCCAACCTCATCTATTTGGGGAGGTCTATGGGTTTCCCCAGTACCATGCTGAGTCTCTCATGTACTGGGCTATTTTTATTCAGGGATTAAATGCAGATAACTGGAATTATGCAGTATGATTCCTAAGTGAAACTGCAATTTTGCACCTAATTTGATGCAAGGATTAAAATAATGTCTACAACTCTCTTTTTTTTTGAGACAGAGTCTCACTATGTCACCCTTGGTAGAGTGCTGTGCTATCACAGCTCACAGCAACCTCAAACTCTTGGATTTAAGCAATTCTCTTGCCTCAGCCTCCTAGGTAGCTGGGACTACAGACACCCACCACAATGCCTGGCTATTTTTTGTTATAGTTGTCATTGTCACTTAGCTGGCCTGGGCCGGGTTCGAACCTGGCTCCCTTGGTGTATGTGCCTGGTGCCGTAACCACTGTACTATGGGCGCTGAGTCTACAACTCTTCTTTTTTTTTTTTTTTTGAGACAGAGCCTCAAGCTGTCGTCCTGGGTAGAGTGCCATGGCATCACAGCTCACAGCAACCTCCAACTCCTGGGCTCAAGCAAGTCTCCTGCCTCAGCCTCCCAAGTAGCTGGGACCACAGGTGCCGGCCATAACGCCTGGCTATTCTTTGGTTGCAGCCATCATTGTTTGGCGGGCCCAGGCTGGATTCGAACCCACCAGCTCAGGTATATGTGGCTGGCTCCTTAGCTGCTTGAGCCACAGGTGCCGAGCCTACAACTCTTCTTGGTGACAGAGTTAGTCCTCTCTCCTGGTGCCAGAGGGATATGGAAGTTTCTTGATGACAAAAGGGGCCTGGGCAGGCCTTCCCTCTCTGAGCTTCCGGGGCTGAGTACTGTGCAGTAGGACGTACATCACCATCCTGTCACAAACATTTCAGGTCTCTCTGGGAAACTTGAAATAAGACTTCTTGAATTCTGTTCACATGGCCTACAGCTGCCTACCATGTGCCCTTCTTCAGAAAAGCTCAATTTTGGAAAACTCTAGTTTAGATAGCATATGTTGTGTACTTAACTCATGTTCCTAAAACCCTCCTTTTGTCCAAGGATTCATTCATTCCAACTGTAAATAGCCAGTGTCTTAGTGAGCTCCCCATAGTCCCAACATTTTGAAAGGCTAAGGTGGGAGGAATTGTTTGAACCGAGTTGAGGTTACAGTGAACTATGAGGTTACAGTGATCAGAGCATGGCGTTCCAGCCTAGGGGGACAGAGCTAAACCCCATTTCTTAAATACAAAATAAAATCTTAAAATAGATATGACTGACGCCAGACTTTTCAGGAATTCTTTTCAGGACAGTAGGTAACTTCTACAAATGTTGGGGACCCATGAATAATTTAAATCAGTTCTCAGAGGGCAACAAGAAAGGTGAAGTAGAAGAAAGACAAAGACAGTGGTGGAGAAGAGGCCCTGGGGTGCTTGTCCCCTCTTCCCCTCCTCTGGATCTCTCCTGTTCCCAGTTAGAAAAGCAAATGAACAAACGCCCAAGTTCACTGGAGGGAGGAAGTTCTGACTTCAGCACAGGTTAAGGCTGGGGGAGGCTCTCTGGAAGAGAGACGTGTTTCTGCTAAGAGTGACTTTGGTGCTGCCCAAAGGGCTAACTTGTCTCTTAAGGTGCCTTGCAGCTCCTCTCAGAAGGGTTTATTCTTTTGTGCTGAACTGTCATGAACATCGAAAATAACATCTCTATGTCTGGGGGTTAAAAGTAACGTTGCAAGAACCCTCAACTCAAAGCAAGGGTCCCACATGCCAGTCATGACACTGTGGTATCATGGAATTAGAATTTCAGAGTAGAAACATCCCTCCTCCCCTAAGCTGTGTCCGTTTTGACTCTATCAAAATTCGTACTAGATGAAGATTTTTGTGAAAGTAGCAGAGGGTTTCAATTTCACAGATGGCTTCACCCAAGAAAAATGACTGTCCCCTGAGGACTTCAGAACTAGACCAATCTGGTCCTAACTTGAGTAGACACCCACAGCCAGGTGCCAGACAGTCTGTCCATGTCCCAAGCCTGGCTGAGCCCTCCAGGAAGAAATGGAGTTTTGATTTCTAAGATGAAAGATTTCTGGAAAAGACTCAAGAGGCACTTTTTAGGAGATACCTACTGGGCAGAGCAAGTGTCTCCAGCTGCCAGCTTGGGAACATTCCCTCGGTGGGCCTGAGTCCTCACATCCCCACCACGTCAGTCTGCTGAGTGTGCCTGTGTCTGGCTGAAGATGGCACCAGACGCCTTTTGTTTTGGGAGCCCCGGGCTAGATGCTGGTTCCCTTGCTGACCTTGGAGTAATGCTTCAGTGACAGAGACAGGGTGGAGGAAAGGATGTACCTGATGAAAGCCAACATCAAAAGGTCCTAGGTCCAACTTTGCTGGAAAATCCCAGGAGATAAAAGTCAGGTTTGTTCAAAAAGTCAGAAAAGAGAAGGGCGGGCGCGGTGGCTCACACCTGTAATCCTAGCACTCTGGGAGGCTAAGGTGGGTAGACCGCATGAGCTCAGAGGCTCCAGACCAGCCTGAGCCAGACTGAGACCTTGTCTTTAAAAATAGCTGAGCATTGTGGCAGGCGCCTGCAGTCCTAGCTACTTGGGAGGCTGAGGCAGGAGAATCACTTAAGTCAAAGAGTTTGAGGTTGCTATGAGCTATGATGCCATGGCATTTACCGAGGGTGACAAGGTGAGACTCTGTCTCTAAAAAAAAAAAAAAAAAAAAAAAAAAGTCAGAGAAGTGGCTGCTGACTTTGGGGGCTGGAAGCTGTGGATGTCAATGCAGACAGGCCCACATACGACTTCACTTGGCAGCACAGACAGGAATGAGGATCTGATATGTCCCCAACTTTAGCTGAATTTTGCCCTGGGTGCAAGGAACTTTACTCCTGCCTTTCGATTAAAACCTCCACTACATCACAGGCATTGGGCAGCCTTCGTGCAATCTCATTATCACCGT